AACGAATGGCATAAATATTAAAACTTTTAGTCAATTTAAATGCAATCAAAGTGTCATTAAATCTATATATTGAACACCGAGAGAGAGAGAGAGAGAGAGAGAGAGTGCTAATTTTAACATTAATAATTATAGTATTACAATACTTGTATAATTATGCGCAAAAAATAATTCCATTATTAATTATAATTTATTTCTAACATTTTGATAGAAACAATAATTACATAAAATTAATTGAAAAACTCTAAACACTGGTGTCAATATAAAATGGATTTTTTTATAAGAAGAATCATCTATTTACTTAATTATTGTTTATTTTATTGGTTAAGATTTTATAGATAAACAACTGTTGATCTAAATTGTAATTATTTGATAGATGTGTACACTTTGCTTGTTATAGTGTCAAAATAAAAATAATATGAAAAAATTGCATAGAATTTTATAAATTTTAAATTAGTTTTAAACAATTTTTCACAATCATTAACTATTCATGATCATTTATAATTTATAAGTTTTATAATAAAAGCGTATTTTATTTTAGCATATTCGTTTTGGTTTCACTCATGTTCTTTATACATGTTCTTTATACACTTAATACATGTAAAAATTATATTCTTCAATCTTTTCCAATCTGAAATTTCTTATTTTTCAATTTATTTAAATATTATTTAGATGTCTAATAATTATATGGCATTTATATTTCATTCATCTATTATGTTGAGAGAGATTTTATACTGTCTTAAAGAATACACCGATATTTATAAATTGAATTGTGATTGAATTGAGTTTATATTGAGCTTTACTTTATTAATATTTAATGCATTGAGACATATTTACTATATATGCTCATCTACTTTATAGATAAATATAAATAATGCAATATTTTGATGTTTATTTAAATTTATAATTTAATATTTCTGTTGAATATCAAAAATATAATATATGAAGTTTATGAATGATATACGTCAAATATTTTAAGCATATTGTGAATAACTTGACCAAAATTAATTTTTACCGGTATTGGTTAATGAATATAACGTTATAATTTATGTAGTAATTAATTAAATATTTTATTTAATTAAAATAATTTTAATTTCATTATAGGAACCAAAATTGCTAAAACATGGATGAAAATTATCCAGATTCAATGTCGGGATATCTTATGGATCAATCGGTAGCTATAGCCGAGAGCACAACATTTGAGACAATATCGACGTTCTGTAATCAGTCATTAAGTATGGGTTTAGAGAATGAATCTAAACTATGTAACGACCCGATGGAGGAGATGAATGAGATCGAAGAAGTGGCCAAAATATTGAGTATTATTGTTCCCATTTTGTTTGGTATTATCGTAATCGTGGGTCTGTTCGGTAACGCGTTGGTTGTGATTGTGGTGGCGTGTAATCCGCAGATGAGATCGACCACAAACTTACTTATAATCAATTTAGCGATCGCTGATCTGCTCTTCATTGTGTTTTGTGTGCCGTTCACGGCATGGGATTATGCCTTCCCTTTCTGGCCGTTTGGTAACGTGTGGTGCAAAATAGTACAGTACTTGATCGTGGTCTGTGCCTACGCCAGTATATACACTGTATGTCTACTCGTATTGATTAACAAATATATATAAACTTTTATTTCTTTCCATTTCTATCTTCTATTAGTCTATATTTTAAACGATAATTGAATAGTGAATGCATTTGTTTGACTCAAATTCCACAATGAATTTCAATTTACTTCAACTAATATTTAATAGAAGAGCTATAAATTGTTTTTAACTTTTATTTGTGTGTCTCATAGAAATGTTTGATTCAATTAGTGTTTAGATTTGATATTAAGTGCTTAACTGAATGTGTCTTTACAGCTGGTGCTGATGTCGTTGGACCGATACTTAGCTGTTGCCCATCCGATCCAATCGATGTCAATTAGAACTGAACGGAACGCCTATTTGGCCATATTTATGATGTGGATCACAATCATCGTCGCCTGTATTCCGGCCCTCATTAGCCATAGTGTCATCTCATTTGAAGGCTCCGAAGACTCAGTCTGTCTGTTCGCTGACGAGGAATACAATAAATCTTTATATCAGATTTGCTTCTTTCTGTCGTCTTATGTGATCCCCATTTCGATTATATTGATATTATATGTACTTATGTTGAAACGGCTTTGGTTTGGTGTCGTTCCGGGCGGTCATATGAGCGCTGAGTCCGTCAGATCCAAGAAGAGGGTCACCCGAATGGTTGTCGTCGTTGTCATCATATTTGCCTGCAGTTGGTGTCCAATACAAGCCATTCTCGTACTCAAGAGTTTCGGCCACTACGAGATCGACACCACAAAACTCATTATACAAATAGCGGCACA